AGAGAGAGAGAGAGAGAGAGAGAGAGAGAGAGAGAGAGAGAGAGAGAGAGAGAGAGAGAGAGAGAGAGAGCTGAGACTTGGTGACTATTCAGGCGATTGCCCAGACTTGGACATTTTATTCTGGACGAAGACTTGGGGGATTGTTGTGGAAACTATTCTTTCGCAGGGCTATCGAGTTGCACTCTCCCCTTTCTTCTCCCCTCTTTGTCTCTTCCTCCATCTCCCTTCATCTGTGGATGTGCTTGGACATGTCAGCTACGGTCTATGTTTGAGCTGCCATGTCGACCCCTGTGCATGAGCGATGATGGATGTATGCATTCGGTCCTGAGTCCCAATGAGTCAGATCTGTGTATTTCAGTCTTCTGCTGCCTTGTCCTTGCTGTTTCTCTTCTGGCGATCCTTATTTCCTGCTACATGCCCATCTGATGGTTATAACTTATAGGCATGCGCCAGCTAACCACTAACGGTTAACGGGGACCCCTTTATACTTGCTTCTAAGTTGGAATCTGTGGAGTTCGCAGATGGAAGTTGTGCTAATTGGAAAAAAAACTTTTAAAAGGGAAAATCGGAAAATCCATCGCAAATGGTCGTTAATATGTTATTCAACTTATCCCTTTGCCAAGTAACAGGAGTAAGTTGGTAACTTGATTTCAATTTTTCCATTCGTTCTTCTAAAATGAAAAAAATGAAAATTCTGCATTGGCTATGAAATAAATAAAGGGGAGTAGTGTGTGTGAGTAGTACTCAATGTAATTCTTTCTGACTTGCCGGTGGAATAGGAACTGGACTGATGCTGCCCAGAATGGAAAAAAAGGAGGAGCCACTAGTACCTTTGCCGAGTGGGAAAATAGCGGGCCTCGGGTGGGCCTCCGACCTTTTCCGATGGCCGAAACGAAATGATGGCCGCCGATCAGATTTATCAATGGCAGCCATCATCGGGCCCGGCTTCCGAATTTTCAGGAGTTTGGGAAAACATCCACTTTTCCCTAATTTCCCAACACTGGCGGAGGTACTAGGGCTTCTGTTTTTTTTAATATTATCTATAAGTAAATAAATCGAACGAGAGAAGCTGTGGGTTTTCTCATTCAAATTTTCGTCTGCTTTTCTTTGTTGTGCAGGCATTGCTTACAACATAGAAATGTAACAAAAAGTGAGATATGGCCATGAAAGCGGAGCATTAGTGATTAGTGAGTAGTGATGCAAAGGTGAGTATCGTTAGCAGGTGTCTCATTAGCATCACCAACAAGAGCAGAGCAGGAGAAGGACCCACATAGATGATTCGTAGGAGCAATCGGGCGGAGGAAGGAGGTACAAATAGCATCAACAGTGTTGGCAGCATCAACAGCATCACTTCTTGTCGTCGATATTTATCTATATCTCTATCTATCTTTATATATATATATATATCTGTACGATCTATCTCTATCTATCTATATGTATCTTTCTCAAGACCTACCCAGGTCTCACGTAACACTCACGCGCGAGACCTAAACGGCGGGTGTCGAGAAGGTGCACTGGGCTCAGGTCAGGCAACGAGAAACAAAAAGAAACAGGGGGAGCAGGTTGGTGTGAGAGACGGTGTGGCGGCGTTGGGCACATCCGGTGCGTGGGACGGCGAGGCCCAGTAGCCCAAGCCTGTTTTCTCCTTCTTTTTTTTTTCCGGACACGTCACTGTGGTGAAGACAGCCGCTCCCAAAAAAAAAAAAAAAAAAAAAAAAAAAAACAGCCGCTCCCAAACTGCCCCTTCCAAAACTTTCATTTGGCGTTCTGCGCACGAGTGTGACAACCATTGGAAAGGTGCCATGCTAATCTTTGACTGTGTGGCGACCAACGACAAAGGAGCCCCGTTTGTGTGACCACAGCCATCGATTAATTAGTGTAGGCTTCATCCATCTGGACCGCTCTTTCCCGATGGCGATGGGGTCAGGGGCAGCCATGATGACAGTGGCACCGCCAAGGTCATCGACAGCCAGCAGCCTGCATACGGCTCGGTCTCAGCGTACGAAATTATGTCAAGCCGACACGTGTCAGAATTTTGTTGCCTGCCACATTGGTAATACATTAACCAATGACTCTCGTGACCGAAATAGGGGAGCGACCACCTCCTCATCCTCCGTCACTTGCACGGGTGTGTCGGTGTTTCGACGGGAAAGCACATTGCTCGGAAAAGCCACAGAGAACAATGATTGGCTGGCTGGAGAGAGCGGAAGGCAAAGAATGCTGGGGGGGGGGATAGATGGGATTGGGGGGGGGGGGGGGGGTTCACGCCCGATTGGGGTTATTAATAATGGTAAAAATAATGCCCGTTCACCAGGTCGAATGGGCGTGAGGTGTGCGGCTGAGCGGGCGACAAAGGGGGGGGGATTTTTTGAGCGCATTGGGCGGGTTTTTAAGGAAAAGGCGAAGAGCGACATCGAGCGGCTGTTCTCCGGTGTGAGCAAGACCAGAGATAATCTTGCGCTCGTGGATGAATTGCTGACTTATTGGAATTTGAGTGACTCCGAGTCCACGTTGGAAGAACTAGAAGACGCCTTACTGGTGGCGGATTTCGGTCCCCGAACTTCTCTGAAGATAACTGACAAGATCAGAGAGGAGGTCCAAGCCGGCAACCTGAAGACTGGTGCCGAAATCAAGCAAGCACTTAAGCAAACCATCCTCGATCTGTTAACTCAGAAGGAGGTTGCATCTACAGAGTTAAACTTAGGAGCCAGTCATCCAGGGGTAATTATGGTGGTGGGTGTGAATGGTGGTGGGAAGACAACGACCATTGGAAAGCTCGCCCATCGGTTGAAGAATGGGGGTGCAAAGATCCTGATGGCGGCCGGAGATACGTTCCGAGCGGCAGCTGGGGAGCAGCTGGAGGTTTGGGCGGCCCGCACAGGTTCGGACATAGTCCAGGCTGAAGGTCCCAAAAGTAGACCAGGTTCGGTCTTATCTCGAGCAGTGAGAAAGGCGCTAGACGATGGCGATGTGGATATTGTTCTAGCGGATACTTCAGGGAGATTACACACCAATTTTGATCTCATGGAAGAACTTAAGGGTTGCAAACGGGCCATAACAAGAGCAATGCCGTCTGCCCCTCATGAGGTGTTGCTAGTGCTTGATGGGACAACGGGGCTGAACATGCTGCCTCAAGCGCGTGAATTCAATCAGGTTGTCGGTGTGACTGGCTTCGTGCTGACAAAGCTTGACGGCACCGCCAGAGGTGGATGTGTCGTCAGTGTCGTTGATGAGCTCCGTATTCCCGTGAAGTTCGTTGGTGTTGGAGAGGGGCTTGATGATTTGCAACCCTTTGATGCGCAGACCTTCGTCGATGCGTTATTTCCTTCCTGATCTCTAACCCCTACTCTTCTTCCTTGATTCTCGCTTCCACATTAAAAAATCCTTTTGAAACTCTTGCAGACATTGTGATTGATAGGTTGATAGATTGATAGATGTGATTGATTGGTAGATTGATAGATTTGATTGAGATTGATTGATTGATAGATGAGCTTGCTAGACTCCTTGATAGATTTATAGATTGACTGGTAAATTGGTAGACTGCTTGATTGATTGATAGGTAGGCTTGATTGATTGATAGGTTGACACATTGATTGGTGCATAGATGCGCTACTGCCTTTGTGATCTGCTCCTCTTCTTTCTTGGTTCTTTCTGCCGTCTTTCCTTTTCAATTCATCCATGCATGGATGGAGAGAGAGAGAGAGAGAGAGAGAGAGAGAGAGAGAGAGAGAGAGAGAGAGAGAGAGAGAGAGAGAGCTGCTTTTTTGCGTTTCGTGTCGGTTCCTTCAAGGGCGTCGCAGAGCTGCTTTTTTGCTTTTCGTGTCGTTTCCTTCAAGGGTGGCGCAGGTTCTTTTTTTTTGTGCGTCGCCTTGAAGGTCGCCCGGCTGATTGTGTATTTGAATACACAAAGACCAGATTTGTTCAAATACAAGTACATGCCTCAACCCTGCGGATGAGCATACCAATCGAGCTGTCAGTACACAGGTTGTAATTTCGAAGCAATGTTTCCCGAAAAAGAATGGAAGGGTGTTCAAGCACCCACCGTCTGGATGGGCAGTGGAATCAGATGTGCGTGTGGGTCTTTTTGCTTTGGTTTGGTGGTCGACTGTGTGTTGGGACAATCAAGTCCGCATGGTACATGGCACCACCCAGTCCAGATGGTACCTATCTACCCATATCACCCAGACAACATAATACCACCCTGCCCACATGGGACCACCTGGCCATGCGAAGGGCCGAGATGTGCCTAAGTGTGTGTGTGTGTGTGTGTGTGTGTGTGTGTTTTGGGCAGTGGCATGTGTGTGTGTGTGTGTGTGTGTGTGTGTGTGGTGTCAAAGAACCCCGAACTCTCTCCTAATTCCATCTACAAATCATCCACAAACCATTCCATAAAACAAGGAAGGTATAGATAGGCAACATAATAGAAGATGCATGGTTGGCCACATTTGTGTGGTTAAGCACCAAGTGCCCACACACCCGTCTGCCATGTGTGTGTATGTGTGTGTGTGTGTGTGTGTGTGTTTTGGGTGTGTGCTCATACACCCGCCCGCTCGCTTTACTCCACGCTGGCTTAGCTCCAGCATAATGGCCGTCACACTACGGAATCCTGGAGGGTTGGTGAAGTCTGTCGATGACGGAACGTGGTATGCGGCTCAGCCGAAGCGCTCGTGAGCGGTTGCCATGCATAGTGAACGAAAAGTATGAGGAAAATATAGGCTGGAGGGCATGGGGGAGGTGGGAGGGCAGACAGTACATAAGCCCACAGGACAGGGAAGGACGAAGGCTGGACGGCAGGGGGGAGGCGGGAGGACAAACGTCATGCAAGCACACCAAGCAGGCAAACCAGGGAAGAATACAAGTCCCCAGAAAACTGAAACACTGAAAAAAATAAAAGCTGATGATGTAAGATTGTTTTGTCTGAGTTGCACTGACTCATCAGGAGGCTGAACCCTCCACAATCTGTGAAATGCCTGTATTGATGGTTTGGGTCATGAACCCTTTGAACCTTGTTGAAGGCAGACTGTCCCCAAGCGGAACATAGCAGCGGGCAACAACCCTGCGGAGCACCAGGGAATGCAGTAGAGGCAACACTGCTGCACTACGCCAAAAACGACTGCAAGGAACGACACAGCCCGCAGGACTTGCAGCACGGCAACCACGCTGCGAAGCACAAGGCAAGACGACCAAGACAACCACACCGCAAGGGACGACAGGGCAAGCAGACAAGCAGCAGGGCAACCATGCGGTGAAGCACAAGGCAACACCAACACGGCAACCGAACTACATGGCGTGAAAGCAAAGAACACGGAAGTCACGGCCAGCGGAAGGACGGCAAGGCAGCGAAGCAGCGACGCGCAAGGCAACACCACAACCCGGCCACACCACACAGCGAAGACAGCAGCTTGCCAAGAACGACCTGTGAAGCAAGCAGAACGGGCAGCAAGGCAGTGGTAGAGCGCAGACGAGGCAGTCCACACGTCCAACACAGAGCAAAGCAGCACATCACCTACTCACATCACAGGTGGACCGCGCAGAGTGTTGGTTCCCACCACCCACTGAGCCAGGGAGACACTCCGACAAGCATCTGTCATCACCCACAGGCAACACAGACATCCCAAACCGAGCGCCCCCCCTAAGAGTGCCGTAGGCACTGCAGATGAGGAATGACGGACTGTTTGGCACTACTTAAAGGTGCTCACTTGGGCATACAAAAATACTTTTTAAAAAATAGGGGAGAGGCGGAAAAAGTTTGAAAAACAAACATACCAAAAACTGATTGTGTGTGTGTGAGTGTGTGTGTATAAGCACAAACGCTGCCCTTCAGTACAAGTATTACTTTGAACGACCACCTCCCAGGAAACGACCATGCACACTGACTTGAAGACAATTCTCACATAACTCCCCACCACACGGAAACTGACTTGGACTTATGACACTGGCAAAACGCAGTAAGACACGAGGCAACACTTAGGCTGGAGGGCATGGGGGAGGAGGGAGGGAAGACAGGCAACAACAGAAAAAGGCTGGAGACTTGAGGGAGGTGGGAGGGCAGACAACACTCAAGCACACCAAGCAGACAAACCAGAAAAAAAATACAAGTCGAGACTTGAGGGAGGTGGGACGGCAGACAAGACTCAAGCACACCAAGCAGACAAACCAGAAAAAAAAATACAAGTCCCAAGAAACACCAAAAAACGAAAAAAATAAGAGCTGATGATGAAAGATTGTTTCATCGGAGTTGCACCGACTCATCAGGCGGCTGTACCCTCGACAATCTCCGGAATCTCTGTATTTGATGGTTTGGGTCATGAACACTTTGACCCATGTTGAAGGCAGACTGTCCCCAAGTGGAACATAGCAGCTGGCAGGAACCCTGCAGAGCACCAGGCAACGCACTAGACCAACACAGCTGCACAATGCCAAAGATGACTGCAAGGAACGACACTGCAGCGGGTGATAGATGAACAGCACAGCAACCTTGCAGTGAAGCATAAGGCAACACAGGCAAGGCAACCACACTGCAAGGGACGACGGCGAGCGGACCAGCAGCTCGGCAATCGTGCAGTGCAGCACAAGGCAACACTGACAAGGCAACCGAACTACAAGGCAAGCAAGCAAAGGACACGGAAGGCGCAAACAGCGGATGGGCAGCAAGGCAGCGGAGCAGCAAAGCGCAAGGCAACACCAACATCACGGCAGAGGTTGACATTGGGTGGCCGCGACCCGGCCCGACCGTACCCAGCCGTACCCGGCAGTTCTAGACGGGTGCAGGTATGGCATGATTAGTATACACTGGGGCAGCTGAGTTTGGAAATCTGAGGGGGGGATATGGCCGGGCAGGAAACTGTAGGGTGGGTGGGGCTGGGTGTTGACACAGTGCCTGGATGGTTACGGCTGGGCAAAGGTTTGCCCTGGTTCCGGGTACGGCTGGGTAGTGGTTTTGCGCGGGTGACCCGAGGCGTGTAGGCATACTAGGCATATTAGGCAAGCCTAGGTAGGGACAGACCTGACCCTTTTTCTTCACTTGGAAATAGTGGTACTAGTGGGGCATGCCCCTAGTATAAATTTGTCTCTGGCTGTCTGCCATTAATCTTAGGGATGAGGTAGTACTAGGGCCAGGCCGTACTATTAATTTGGCCTGGCCCCAGTCGTTTCATCTTAGGGAATACGACATTCACTAAATTAAATAAGCTCTGGCCATAATTGAGGTCAGATCCATCGAAATCTGGCTGTAGTTGCGGCCAAATGTAGACAAGAAAGTATCACTGTGAGTATCCCCAGCCACTGGCCCATTGCCGCCGCCAAAATTTGAAGCAGAGATCTGTGGATGGAAGCTTAAAAATCCGGCATGCAAAGGCCTAAGTTTAAAATAAAGATAAAAACTAAGTCTGGGTGGAAAATTTTGGGCACAGGTACGACTGGGCACGGGTGGATGGATACTGGGTTCGGGTGCGGCTGGATGCGGATGAGGGAAAATTTGGCCTGGGTGTGGCTGGGTATGGGTAGACAATTTTTAAATCCCCCTGGGTGGGCTGGGTACGGGTAGAAGAAAAATTAAATTAGCGTAGGTGGGCTGGGTCTGGGTAAAACAAATCGTGTTTACGTGGGTCTGCCTAGATATGATACATCAAGGCTGGGGCTGGGTCGGATACGGGTAGGAAAAAAAATGGTTTTGCGACCTCTGCAACACGGCCACACCACACAGTGAACACATCAACTTGCAGAGAACTGCATGCAAAGCAAGCAGGACAGGCATCAAGGCAGTGGCAGAGTGCAGACGAGGCCGTCCACACATCCAACACGGAGCAAAGCAGCACATGACCTACTCACATCACGATTGAACCCCGCAGACTGTTGGTTCCCACCACCCACTGAGCCAGGGAGACACTCCGACGAGCATCAGTCATCACCCACGGACAACACAGACATCCCGAACTGAGCGCCCCCCTTAAGAGTGCATTAGGCACTCTAAACGAGGGACCACCGACAGTTTGGCACTACTTACGGGTGCAGCTAGGGACATAAAGGTACTTAGAAAAAATACAAAACTGAAAGAAAACATTCATCAAACTGATAGTGTGTTATAGTACGATATAAAACCACCGCGACACTTTACATCACGGCATGTTGCGTCGCTCAACATGCAGAAGAGCACACCAAACATGTGCATCGTCAAACATCGCATGACAACATTCATCGGAAAAAGCAAGGCTCTGAAAATTCAGACGGGCAATTTTTTTATTTTTTTTTTAAGGGGAAATTTCTGCCAACCAAGCTAATTTTTGCATTTCCATAGGAAAGTTCTCAACACACGAGATGGGGAAAAAAAAAAGGAAAGGGGGAACAAAAAGGGAAAGGAGAGAGGGGGTATGTACAAACAGATGTCCCGGAGACAGGTGAGCAACAGGTGGACAAACATATGCAAAGGAGCAATCAAGACCCAAAGTCATCGAGTTCCCAGTAATCTAAAAGGTGGGCGAATTGCCGATTCTCAAAAAATGACTCCGGAAGCCGGCTCCGCGACAGGGGATTGTAAACCCATTGAACACATGTCAGGAGGTAGCTGGTTCCAAATAGCCAAGGAAAACAGCATCACCAGTACTATGTCGGGTTTGGCGTCATGCCCGGGCACCAATCCTGACAGAAGTACACACCAACCACCTAAATCAACCTTTCATGTTCGTCAAGGCAGCTAGACCAACATCGGATGCAAACCACCCGCGCAATTCCCAAAAGAGGCATCCTTCGACCGAATCAGAAAACAGTGATTGCTACCATAATGCTCCGCAACATTCGACACTCATCACCCGATACCCAGTACAAAGCAACACACCAGTACACGACACTGTACGCATCCTGACAACCCAGAAATCGCCATTCTATCCGCTAATTGTCGACGATTGCTTGCATGTCCCTACAGAAACACCTCACTTACCCCCCGGGGGGGTGCTGTAAAACAAGGGGGTT